AGTCTACCAAGTACTTGGGACTATATATACACACTATCATGTTTGGCTAATTTTTTCTTTTTGTGTTGAGATGGGGTCTTACAATTGTTGCCCAGGCTGATCTTGAACCCCTGGCCTCAAGCTATCTTCCTACCTCAGCCTCCCAAAGTGCTGAGATTATATTTCACCCAGCCTCAATCTTTTAAAAGAGGGAGTAAAAAATTCAGATGTTCAGCTTTTCATGAACAAGTGGAAGATTTGGTCCTACCTTCTTCCATTACAGTAACAGCTAGGACTAAGCACCAGCGGCTCTATTAATGGGGCATTTCCTTTTCAATTTGCACCATTCTCAAACAATCCATATTACTTGTTTATGCTACTTGGCTGGACTTGTAGACATTCAGATTTGCTGCCTCCTACCAGTGCAGCAGGGGAACAAGCTAGGCACGTTACCAAGACAGTGATTCAGATCTTCAAAGCCAAAGTCAGCTCACAGAATGGAAGCACAAATTTAGGCCCAGAGAAGAAACAACTGTGGCTTCTCACTTGTCAACAAGGCTCACAGTCTGGTGATGATTTTCCATGGCCAGAAGTGGTTTCTGCCTTGTATCTGCACCTGTGGGTTCCAGCTGGTGCCGTGTCTGGGGCCAGCCTAATTCTCTTAGTTTCAGCCTCCATATGAAGTTTTTGGTACTTAAGTGACTGACTTATCTCCCTTTGGAGGCTTTTGAATGCTCTATTGAGCCTCTCCCCACAAGATTCCAACTACATTATTAGAACAAGCGGTCAGTACTTCACAGTACATGCAGGTAGGTAAATGTTTCTCTACCCCAATGCTACCAATGCATGGGAGTGAGGCAGCTTTCCTTCCACTCTTTATTTCTTTCAGAGATACCTAACTGAGAGCATGTTTCTAAGGATTATGTTATTAAGATTCCCCCAATTAGCCTGCATCATTGCTCCTGGCTAAGTCTATGAAACCCAAGATACTAGGCTCAGTGTAACTGGAATAATGTTGTGAACACAGGTTTGGATCTGTGCCTGGGTTTGAAGGCTTCTTGTTCTGGGCTTGGAGAAAGTTGTGAAACTTCTAAAAGGTATTTTAGACAGGGTCAGGATTTTAAGGTATATTTTAGAATAAGCCTCAGGAATGGCAACTTACAGTTCTGAGGGTGTTATGGGAGAGTCAGATAGAGTTCCCACATTTTTAAAGAGCATCTACCGTTAGTAACATGAGCACACTCAGGGCTTAGGGTCAAAAGATGCTTATTTAAGTGGTTCCTACATAGCCAGGAAGCTCTAGGAATTGGTTTTGAATCCATATTAACCCTAAAACATGGCTCAGGAACTAGAGTTCAGCATTTTCAAGACAGTGGAATTGGCTCTATACAGCTGAAAGGAAGCCATCTCCTTTCCATCATCACTGTGGAAATTGTGATTTTCATTGTATGTTTTATTGTATATTAATGCAATTTTACATACTCTTGTAGCTTAAATCTATTGAATGATAATCTCTTGGTAGAAAGGCAGGTGTGTCTGGCCCAGACCAGAAATGTGTATTTTTACCTTTTGATCTAAAAATTACTGATATAGGCCGGGTGCAGTGGCTCACGCCTGTAATCCCAGCACTTTGGGAGGCCGAGGTGGGTGGATCACGAGATCAAGAGATCGAGACCATCCTGGTCAACATGGTGAAACCCCGTCTCTACTAAAAAATATAAAAAATTAGCTGGGCATGGTGGCTCTTGCCTGTAATCCCAGCTACTCAGGAGGCTGAGGCAGGAGAATTGCCTGAATCCAGGAGGTGGAGGTTGCGGTGAGCCGAGATCGCGCCATTGCACTCCAGCCTGGGTAACAAGAGTGAAACTCCGCCGCAAAAAAAAAAAAAAAAAAAATTACTGATATATAGTCAGAATGAGAGCTGCTGTTGTCAATTCTGAGAGACAGAAAGCTTTTGTTAAACAGAATATTCAGCTCTACAGATGATTTATTCAATGAGGAAGAGTGTATATGGAGGGTTGGGGGGGAAGAGAAATAGTGTTATATTTTCTAATTATTTCAAAGTCAATTTCTATTTTTTTATGAATCACTTAATTTAAAAACATTAATGAGAATATGAAGTATAATTGTTTTTAAGTTGCTCATGGGTTTAACTCTGAGTTTGGATGACTAGATCTTTCCTACCTGTAAGAGGTTGCAGCACTTACATGATAGCAGCTACCATAAGTGAAATAAAACACCCAGGTAGAAAGTAACAGGTCTACTTATTACTCATCTTGAAACCTAAGACTGATAACTGTATCAAAACATTATATGTGGTAGATTAAAAGTGCTCATGACTAAACCTAAATAAGCAACCACCTTATTTTGTTAGAGTAGGTTTTAGATTGAAAATTGAGACTTGGACTTTGAGCTAAGTGCTTCCTGTAACTTCTCCTCTTTGAAACTCAGTTTATTCATTTATAAAACAGAGAAATTGGATTGTGGGCCATGGTCTTCAAACTGCTGTCCTCCAAAGTCAAGTAGTTTGGTGAAATCAGATCAGGGCAAAGGAGGCAGAGCTCACAGGGACAGCCACTGGGCCACAATGCTGGCTTCAAGAACAGACCTATGGTTTCTCTCTTCTACACAGTATACTTCCATATAAAGCATTGATTTGAAGAAGGAATGCTTCTGTGGCTATTAAAAAAACAGTTTTAAAAACCCACTTAGCTGGATATTTAAAGAAACTTATT